TGTGAAGCAAATTTACAAGGTGTTCTATTGGCAATATGAACAATGATATGTGATTTGTTTGAAAGACATGAAAAAATATCACAGTGCCTAAATCTTAAGAATGTTGAAATACTTTTACATAATCATAAATTTCTTTAAGCATTGTAATGGAGTACTTATCTTCATGTTATATGTTTTACGAAAGTCAGATGAAAAACAAACTTTTTCAATGTTCCATATAGAAAATAGCCTGTAGTCAGGACTATAGACTTATGTTTCGTTGTAACGATTATGGTAAAATAAATGATTCTCTCAATATTTTATTGATATCTCGGGCCGCATGATTTTTATCTGTTTTTGAACAGATTTACCTTGGAATTCTATGTAAAAAAAAAAGGTATAATCATGTAGACTAATACATGTTTCTTCGTCTCTAAATTTAAAAAAAGAGATCACAAACGACTCTGTAAATCTCTATTTTGTTCCCCAGACAAAATACAGTCTTATTTTTCAAGTTTATCATTTTTAGTTCTAACTAATTATTCTTTGTCTTGTCCCTTTTCATTATTTATATAATAGAAACAAAGCATTATTTAATAAATATAGAAATATCTAATTTCAAGTATCAACTCACCGAGGTAGAAAGAATATCAAAAAGACGAAAAAAAGAAAGCACCAAACGAAATAACGCTGAACTGCTGTCGCATCATCAAAGAACAACTCAAGATACTGATTTCCCCCGTGACCTAAAATATTCTTTAATAGTAATATATCGGATACTGCGACAAGTTTGTTCGAAAGTTTGCAAATATGAAAAAAAAACAACAATAAACATAAGACCTTAGCAAACTGACATTTGATGTAGTTTCCTGAGAGAGAGACTCGGAGCATATTAAAGTAATTGTTTCCATGTTGAAAGACACGTTTGAAACAAAATCAGAAAATAGATGATAAATGCCTATTGATTTTATCCTATGACAGTTTATTAATTAAAAAAATCGTTAATGGTTTTATAAAGAAGTAAATTGTTCTTTTTTCGTAATGAATCGAATTCATCTTGTTAAGAATGTGGTGTCAAATCGAGTATTTATCTGTGTTCTCAACATGATATAACACCAGTACTTTTTCTTGTCTACTATTATTTTATCTTCTCGTTTTATCCTGAATTATGAATCAAGTAAAAAGTATTTAGTTGAAGGAACATGTTGTACTTAATGTCAACTTTTAATATTTTGTTCGACATGAAGACTGAAGAAATAGCACCGTTATGATAATCAAGTTGAGCCTTCTCGGAGTTTGTGCTTAATGTATTTTAATAGCCCAAAAAGGTACATGTTTGTCCTCCAGTAATAATAATAATTTCGTTTCTGGATGAGAAAATCTAGATAAAACATTGCAAACGCTATTTGGTTTTTGTTTTTATGATAAATTGAATAATAAAAGCAGTAAGTGTTGACAGCAATATAATAATTGATAACAATCTCATTTCTAGAAAGTTGGTATAATATGGTAGAAACGAAGATACATCAACATTTAATCTATGGTCATCATGAAGATTATTTCTTGTTTACTATTATTTATTCTTCTAGTTAAGTATATTGAATCGAAAAGGGCGGATCGTACGTATGTACTGGTAGAAAATGCAAGAAGCAATCGACTTGAATTAAATGGATATACAATATTTGATTCAAAAGAAAAAAGAAGTTTATATCGATTAACAGCATCAATAAGTGATATCGATAGTGCCATACTTTTTGACGATTCCGGAAACAATATAATCGCTAATCTTGAAGGTGTATGGATAGGTGGCAAAGTTAATGCTACATTTTCTATTTATGATTCAAAGTTAAATAAATGGACAGATGGAAACATACGAAGAACTGCTCATTGGTTTTCTGTTGATTATACTGTTGAGTATAATAATGAGCAAGTGATTGCAAATCGCAAAAAAAATGCGAGCAAAGGAAAAATTTACCATAAAAAGAAAAATGAATTATTAGCTAAATTTCACGTTCGTTCTCAATGGGTCTCTGAGACACCTCGTAAATATAATTTGGAAATTTATTCGAATAAAGTACCTGATGCTATTCATTTTTTCTTATTATTAATTATGGACCATCGACTACGTGGAAACAGCAGCTAATCACATTGACATTAATTATTTGCATGCTTTCTTTACATAATACACAAATGAGTTATTTGTAGCTTATATTTACTGAAAATAGAATGAAATTTTTTTTATTAATAAAACTTCTGTTTCTTTTTGCCTTAATTTATTACTTTTTTATTCAACTTTATACATAGTTTAAAAAAGAAATCATTCTTGATTAGAGATATAAAGTCAACTCCGAATGAAGATCTTTATATTCGTTAATGAAGATTTTCTCTAAATTTTACATGACTTATTGAATTTTAGTATATATGATATCTTTGCGTAGATGCTATGAAATCGAATCACTTTGAACTTTCTTTAGCTAATAACGGATGGTATAGAACAGGGGCGTACCGAACCACCTATAGCATGGGGGCATAAATACCTGAGGTGGAAGTTTTCTATATCTTAATAAATATTAGTGGATAGTACTACTTAATTTTAACTTGTCAACTGCAACCAAACACTGTCAATGATATGCACGTATTGTTTACATCGATTTTTAAAAAGATATTCTCGTACAGATGAAATCTCAAGTGATTCATCTCATTGTAAGATAATATTCCAATTCAAGTAATATGAAAATAATACCAAAATGAAGCTATAAAACGAAACTATATGATATAAAAAACTTTAATTTTTTATAGCTATTCTTCTGTCTTTCATTTTTGTTCAATCATTGACCAAGTTCTCAATATTTATTTCCTTGAGTAAATCACATTCAATGGAGCTGATAGTTAGCTAAAACAATCGATCATTGGGCACCCAGGTCGAACTCACCCCATCGAATCCGATTGTTTTTCCGATAGGATCCGACGAGATCCAACTGTCGGATTGTTCGTCCTGGGCATTGTACTACGTAGATAATTTTTGATTAACTTCAACTTCGAAAAAGATCATTCATTGCTAGACACCATGATAGGCAGCGTCAAAATGAATTGATACAATAAACAAGCACGAGCATAAAATTTACAACAATTTTTAAGCATAAACATGTTATCAACTTTACTGATATTATGACATTGAGTAATTGCTGGTGTTAATTGTTTTATTTCTTGAAATAATAATAAACTATCGTCTAAACCGGTTACAATTTTGGCAAGATTTTCAGCATCAATTTCAACGAAATTATTAATTGTTGATGATGATAAATTTCTAAACCAATACAACGATTCTTTTAATACTTTCAAATATGATTCATATTTCATACACATATAATCTAGGATTTTTCTGAATAATGTAAAATAGAATTGAGTCCTACGAAAATTCATCAATGAAATTCAGTAATATCAACTTTATCGGTTGTATTATTTCTAATATACTTTACTTTGCAAAAACATGAGCATTTGTGTTATGTTCATCTATTCTACTTGATATAGTCGAGGTCGATGTAATCGCTGAAACTCAGTTTCAAAATCAATTCCATATTCTTGTAAATCTTTTTTTGCTGACGGAAATAAAATAGAAACACATAAACGATACTAAGTTAATATTAAGCAAGTAACATGTACTTCAGTTATTTTTATAAATCTACAATCATCATTTCTCATATTTTTTAATAATACCAATAATGACGATAATATATCAATAGCAGATAAAATATCTAAATCTTCTTGCTGTAACTGAGTTGTAGTTGCATTTGTCGATGCCATAACTTGACGAATAAATATTAAAAGTACAACGAATTTAAAAGAAAGCATTTTATTCAACAGTGTTTTGGTCTCGTATTGGGATTTTGTATCCCCATCATGTTCTAATTCCATTAATGATTTTACTATTTGGTGAAATGATAAATAGACAGCATTAAGGGCCTCATAACGTGCATACCAACGTGCTTGACATAAGTTTTTTAACAGCAAACCATAACTACCCATATGTTCGACTGCGATCGCACTGCGATCCGTAATTGCGGAAAATTGCGATGCAGCCACGCGTAACTGCGAATTTTTATCGTAACTGTGTCGCAGTCGATCGCCGTCGATCACATGAAGTTTTTACTACGATCGATGCACCGCAGTTAGGATCAAAATTTCGCAGTTGTTAAAAAAGTGGCGACATGGGTAGTATTTTCAATTTTACTTTTATAAACCTAAAAAAGCAGAACTGCGGAGATGTTAAACCAAGGGGGAAAAAGCAGATTTTGGCATTCAAAATCTCTCAAAATCTTTTGAAATCTTTCCAAATCTTAAAATCTTTTAAAATCTTTTGAAATCTTTTAAAATCTCTTGAAATCTTTTAAAATCTTTTAAAATCTCTTGAAATCTTTTAAAATCTTTTAAAATCTTTTAAAATCTTAAAATATCTCAGAATTACTGTAAATCGCTTCGAAGATGTTGAATTTGATCTGAAACCTTTTTCAATAGTATATTTCTTAATAACTGTATAGAGAATGTTGAGCTGCAGTAGCTTTTCAAATTTTTGTATATTTTCATCAGTGGCATAGCCAAAGATACGGCCATTGACCAATTGCGCACAAATTCACAATTCATTGCCACGGATCTTTTTAAAATGATTTCAAGCACTCAATGCAGAAAAGTGTTGATGCATATGCACGTACAAAAGTCTCAGTGGTGTCATCTTAATACATTGTATTTTGTTGTGACCTAATTAAGTGAT